CTTTGTCCTGTGTGATTCACTTGCTGCCTGCAGTGGTAAGGCCAATCAATCCTGATTGAATTATCCAACATTAACAGCTGAAAGTGATCAAAACGAATGGTGACAACACCGCCCGGTCAATACATCGATGCAAAGGGTTTGGTTCTTGGAGACTCGATCAGATAAAATAAATAGATCCCTGTAACCACCGAGCAGATTAAGTGGAAGGGCCGGGCGCTCCGTTCCCTCACCAGCCCCGAGGCCCGCGAGGCAGGGAAACGCAGCCCGGAAACGCAGCCCCTGAACCGCAGGCTCCGCCACACGATTCTCTCTCCTCGCAGGGCTCAGCCCGGCCGCGCACCTGCGCGCCGGGATCACAGCCCCAGACCAGGAGCGGCGAGCCCCGTGGGCCTGGTGAGATGGTGCCCAGGACGCGGTGGGACATGGAAAACACGGTTCCCGAGTGACTGAAGGGGCGGGCTGAGCATCACAGGACTTTTTCCAGCCTCAATGCACCTCGGCCCATTCCCTGCCCCCATCGCCGGACTCCCCTCTACCCCTCCGTCCCAACACGCCGTCCGCGGCCTCCCTACGGACCTGCTGGAAGAGGACGGTCTGATCCCGCCATGAATTGTAGCTTCTCTGGAGGCACCAATTAAAGGGCCATTACCGCTGGAAAGAAAGTGGCCTATTCAGCAGCAGCTTCGCCAACGCCCCCTGCTCACACCTGCACAAACCACTCGCACAAACACGCATTGTAGGATGTTATTCTTGGACAGCGCTGCCCGCTCTCCAAGCTGCTTCCTCCAGCTCTGCAGCAGGCGCGGGGAGGTCTGTTAGGAAAACACGGGAAACATTCACGCTCCTTTGCTGTGAAGTAACGGAATGCGCGTTTGGCTCCAACAACGCACCCTTTCTCCTCAGCACCTCTTCCCGCCAGCGTGTGAGGCGGCCGGGAGGGCACTGGAGTTCCTCGCAAACATGGGAGGAAACTACTGAGAGGAAAAGAGGACCCCTGCCCGGACTACGCAGCACGCGTGTCGGGACTGGCAGTGAGCGCTCCGGGTCGGAGGGTGTGGGCCATGTGACGTGCACGGACGGATTCCTCACGGGAAAGGCGGGTCCAGGGTTGGGTTTTCCACAGAAACAGGTTTCCTTTATTCTAAAAGGAGCTGTGGTCTGTGAGGCCCACAGGGTGATGGCTGGGCCTTGACCTTTCTGAAGATGGACAGGGTATAGCGAGGAATTCTCAGAATTTGGAAAGGCCTTGAAGGCAGTACTAGTGAAACAACACACCCGTGTGTGTGTGTGTGTGTGTGTGTGTGTGTGTATGTGTGTGTGCGCGTGCATCTACGTGTAGAGGGTATATAATTTTATGCCCAACAAAGCACTCCTTATTCACAACGAGAGGCTTTTGTGTTTTTAATTGGAGGTAAACAGTGAAGGGAATGCAGGTTACACATTATGGTCATGACCTCAGGTAGGCGCCAGGAACAGATGCACGGCTGCCGGCCACGGGGCAACCTGGGGGCTCATCTGACGGACCCCCACGCCTCTCTCTGACAGAGGAAGAAAGACACCACATGCTTCCAATCTCCAACAGGACTTTAGGTGTATAACCTTTTATGAAACATCCTTTCTAACCTTTAGGGGTGTAAAAACATAGATGAATTCTAGTGGAATGACTGCATTTATTTTACGTACCAAGGAATGACCTACTGAAGGATGAAGCCAGAGATTCATCTTTCTGCTCTGTTGCTATTTTGGTTACCAACCTTTCTACTGTTGCCTTCATTTTAGTCCATTCCCCCTCATTCTAGAAATTAAAAAAAAATGTACTGTGGTTTTCATATACTTACCATGCTTACATTCTAAACAGGAAATAAAAGAAATCAAGATCTAAAAATCACATTCAATGCTCCCTCTAAACCCACGGGTAAAAGGTCATCTGGGTAACGAAAGCAAGCACACAGGACTGGGAACCCCTAAGGTTAAAGCATCAAAATCCGAACACACTCAAAACTAGAAAAAGTTAATTCTCACCCATTTTTCTTAATGCATGGGAACTGAAAGCCACTGCTGTTCCTGGGGTTTCCTGAAACAGGCACAGCTCATCTACCACATAATAACGCCCACACCAACTAGAAATGATCACGTCTCCCAAAACAGACCTTCTCCATAGAGAGTGACCCGACGCTAACTGTGAACGCTGTGCCTAGGAATGGGCTGAGCCTGGGGACTCACATCGAGGCCAGCTAGGTATGACTCCGAGCTGTTAGCCTGGAAAGAGAATGCTCTCAGCCTTGGATTATGACGTGAGACTGACGGCCGGATCAGAACATGAACACATCAGACATGTTGGAAGAGATGTTCTGGCCCCTTGAGACGGTAGGGACCTCACAGGAGCTCAGGGAGTCAGTGCTGTGTAACTGTCTTCTACACCAGTGGCTCCTGCGTGTGCCCTGGGGACATCCGAGGCCCCCAGATCCTTTCAGGGGTCTGCTGGTCACCGCTATTTTCACAGTAACACCCCTATGTCATCAGCCCTTTACAGACTCATTCTCTGTGTGCGCTCGGAGGAGTGTTTAGAGGCTACTTGGCACATTGCCGTGATTCCTCTGACGGTTGGGAGAATTGCGTGTCTGTCCATTCTTGCGTTTAAAACATTTCTCAATTTTTTTTCTAATATAGAAACTATCAATAGCCACATGGATCAAAGTCCTTTGTGGCCCTCAATCCTGTTTAGTGTAAAGGCTTCCTGAGATCAAAGGAGTTAAGAAGCGCCGGTCTTTATGCATTGTAGAAAAGAGTGAGTACTCTGTTCCAGGAAACCCCCAAATGCACCGTGAAAGAACCCGGGGGTCCTGCAGGATGCCCCTCATTGCTCAGCTCCGTCTGCTCCACCTCGGCCCCCAGGCCAGAACTGCCCGGGTTGGGATCTTTTAGTGAAAGACAGTGAAGCTTTACCACCAGGTTAGTTCCCCTGGGACCTACTGATACAGCTGCCCCCTCAGCCACGACCTCCCTCTCCCTGGTTCCAGTGACCCATGGTCAACTGCAGCCTGAAACTAGTAACTGGGAAATTCCAGAAATAAACAATTCTTAAGTCTTAAATTTCACACGGTTCTGAGTAGCGCAAAGAAATCTGGCTAGCCGTTCCGCGCTGCCCTGACCAGGAGGCAAATCACCCTCCCTTCGCCCGGGGTATCCACACTACCCCCTCCCTTCCCCCTCCCACCCTGTCCACCAGTCACTTAGCCGCCTCGGTTATGAGACCAGTTACCACAGACAGAGACCATGCTCGCCTAACTTTCATTACAATACATTGCTGTAACCGCTCTCCTGTATTACTGTTGTGTTACTCTAGTAATGTGCCTGACTTTTAAACTTAGCTGTCACAGAGATGTGTGTACAGGAAATACACAGCACCTACAGTGCTCCGTGGGCCCAGCCTCGCCTGTGTGCTCCTCGGGTAAAGGGGGACTGTAGGTACAGACGTGTTTTCAAGCACATGAGATGGAAGTCAGTCTCCTCAGAGTCCCCATGACTTTGGTGTTCTGCTTCACCGTTTACAGACTAACGAACCGAACGCAGGTGTATCGCCCACATCCTTTACAGCATCATGCACACCAAAGCGCCTCTTCCTCTGATGCCTAGTGCGGTAAGAATAAACTTTCCAATAATAATGTGGGCTCCTTGCTTAATAAGACACCATTTTACATAATCCTCTAACTTGGCCTGCCTTCTCTACTCAATTCACGCAGCCCGGACTGAGGAGAGCTCTATCGGAAGTGATGACAAGCTAGACAGCAACTCTGTTTGGTCCCTGACTCAGTATGTCAGTTACATGTCTTCCCTGTTTTATTTCACCTCCTTAATTTGCTAGTTGCTCCCTTATAAAATAACTGAGAAGATAACCTCTCACTTCCTTATTCTGACACAAAATTAACACCATTCCACCTTCCCTGAGCGGGGAGGCACAAGGCTGCTCAGGGCCCGAGGGTGGGGTGGGGCCAGGGAGTGGGGGCGGGGGGGGGGGGGGGGAGGGGGAGGTCAGCCAGAATAATGCCCCTTGGCTGTTCAAGGAAGTCAATGCAAAAATATAATTACCCCCACCCAGTGTAGGCTAAATCAAGTATTTATTGTTAATAATAGTGCTCATCATAAAATAATATTGAGTTCAAATGCCTTCTCCACCAAGGGTTTAACACACACACGTTTCTTTCACACAATTTCATCAGAAAAATCAGGATAGGTATCATGCCCATTTTCCAGATGAAGTAACAACAAAAAATAGTTATTTTCCTTTTTGTAATAAGCCATAGGATCCAGTCTCTGGCTCATTATTTAACTATTAGTCTCCTGCTAAACCAGATTCCTGTTATACTTTATAGTTTATGCCTTAGAACCAGCTCTGTCCTTCCATGGTTACCTAGCAACAACCCCTTACATGTTACACGTGTGTGTCAGTGCTTTACGTCTGAGGTTCGGAGCCATCCTGGGCCTGAGCAAGGTCACCTCTCTAGCCAGTGGGATGCTCAAGGCTGCCCTGAACATGTTTGGTGCCAACGGTTAGGGCCAAAGCCGTTACAAGCACTGATCCCTTTCTCTGCTCCATGGGAGCAGCACCCGCGTGGGAACATGGCTCCCTTGTGTCCCTTCTCCTTTCCGTGTGTGACCCCGCAGGACTGTAATCGGCCGTGCCTCCCGCCGGGCCCGGTGAGAGCGGAGCATGAATAAAACAGGGGCTGAGAACTGGCCCTGACAGGCGAGGTGCGTGGGCGCCCCCCTGCCGTCCAATCACCTGACCCCTAAGTCCAGCTCCCTGGGTCAGAAGGTCTAATTACAGGGCTGCTCGCCTCCTTTTCATGATTGACAGCAGCTGGAGGCAAAACGACTTTGGTGCCTGCTGATCCGGCGTCCTGGGGCCCCGGTGAGCCCTCCCGGAACCCAGACTGAAACCTCGCACCCTCCCTCGGAGGGCAGCCAGGAGGCCAGGCCCAGCCTCGCAGGGACGTTACCTGCAGCTCCGTTTGGAAGAAGAACTTCTGCGGACACTGCGTGCAGTCGTAGATCTTGTCTTCCTGTCCGTGGGCGGAGAAAATGTGCTGCTGCAGCTTGTTTGCCTGGACAAACACTGCAATGAGAAAAACGGGCGCCGTTACCTCCTCTCCGAATGGCCCGGAGTCGGTGGACTGAGGCACAGGCCTGGGGGTGGGGGTGGGGGTGGGGAGTGACCCCGCCAGGGGCCGGGGGAATCCGGCCCCTTCGCTCTGCCCGGCCTCTGGCTTTCGTGACGGCGCCCTCGACGGAGCACCGGGCTCACCCGAATGGCTCCAAAGTCAGGGCTTATGGAGGTCCCGCTCCCTGTAAATCTTTTCGAGATAAAGCCCCAAGTTGTCAAATGCACAGCAGCACTGTCGGAACCCCGTTTTCTCAGCAACCCACACGGCAAGAAATCATAAATGCCAAACCCTGTTTATTGTATTTGCCTAAAGTTACAGCTAGCAAACAGTTCTCTATTTAAATGCGCTAATGCTGAGAACAGCACCGCTCGGTGGCTCGGGGGCACTGTCTATAAATATGAAACAGAACCCCAGGTAACGTCTCTTTGGGTCCTTTAAGATCAACTCAGCCTACACACAGAACGCGAGGGTTTCAATAATATAAACATGTTCAATTTTAATGACTACAAAACAAGGCCCTAAGCCTGTGTAACAGTTTACCTGGGAGACATCCTATTAATAATTAAATTGTAGATGCCAGAGGCAGTGTTTGGGTTGGCAGCGCGGCTCCTGACGGATGCCTGGTGCACTGTGACCTAAAAAAGTTCGCCTCCACAATATTAATCGGGACAGGCGGGGAGAGGGCTTATTAAAGACTCCGGCATTTGGCTTTGACTCTGCGCTAATCATTAAAATTATTCTAATTGCCAGCCAACCTAAAATATTAGAATATTGCTCTTATGAGTCATGCATTTTAATCACATTTCTCATTACCCTAAAAACTGCTCAGATTTCCTCTCCCACCTAACAATGCCAGGGTCCCCCACCTCATACTGTCATTGCGAAAAAACGACTTTAAGATACACGAGAACAATTTAGACCTGTCAGCCGGAAAGTGCAGCCTGCTCGTAATTAAAGCCTTTGTCTCTCCCCACTTCCCCACAAAGAAACGGTTTTCAGACAGATTTGCAAAGGATGTCCATGTCAGTTAGCACCTTTTATGAGGCTTCTGGCCACATCACGAGCTGTTTCACGAGGGTCTTAATTATGAGGAGACCTAGGACCCCGCCCCCTTATGAAGACTTACTTAGGAACATTTATAAAGAATCCAGACGCCCGACTTGTAGCTCAAGATAAATACTACATGACAGAATTTTTAAGTACAAATTCTGAAGAATGAAAAAATAGGTCTGCCCTTGCCAGTTTGGCTCCGTGGATGGAGTGTCGGCCTGCAGACTGAAGAGTCCTGGGTTCGATTCCAGTCAAGGGCACGTACCTGGGTTACAGGCTTAATCTTTGACCCTGGTGGTGCACTTGGGGGAGGATACCAATTGATGTTTCTCTCTCTCCGTCTCTCTCCCTCCCATCCACTCTAAAAATCAATGGAAAAATATCCTCAGGTGAGGATTAACAAAAAAAATAAATAAAAATGAACAGAGAAATAGTCCTGAAAGAAACTGTGGCCCTGGAATCACCAAGGAAGCAGCCGAAGGCCGAGCCGCATGCTCAGCCCTGCTCCTGCCCTGGCTCCTCCCTGCACAGAGCGCCAGGGCCTGGCCACGGAGTGAGGAGCCGCTGCCTGGCATGTGGCTCGGGAAACAAAGAAGCCAATTCCGAGAGCCTACACGTTTCTTTTCCCGACAAAGAGAAAGAAACGTAGCCCGGAGGGACGTCACCGCCGAGTCCCGGCGCGGCAAAGCGACCAGAGGAGCCGGGGTGAGGGTGTCCTCGGGGAGCGCCAGCACCGCGTGCGGCCCCGCTTCCACCCGGGCTGCAGGCTATCGTTTCTGAGGGACATTTCTTGGGGTGTGACCACGTGACCTCTTACCACCGCGAATACACTTTTCTTCTCCGATGTGTCTGTTTATATCAGCGTCTCCCTTCAAAATGCCAATGTCCTAGGAAATGAGTGCCTTATCAACTGTTGCCACGTTCAGGGACTTTTGGGAGGATTATAATAATCTTTTCGTTTCCAGGGCGCTGTGACTCCGTGGTGGAGTGTCAACCTATGAACCAGGAGGTCACCGTTCAATTCCTGGCCAGGGCACAAGCCCGGGTTGTAGGGTGGATTTTTAGGGTGGACCCTGCAAGAGGCAGCTGATCAATGGTTCTCTCATCACTGATGTGTCCCTCTCCCTCCCTCTCCCTTCCTCTCTGAAGTCAATAATAATAATAATATTTTCATTGCTTGTGGGCAGTGTTATAAAGCAGGGAGGGTGGGGAATCTGGCCTGGCCCTTCCTCCGCGCTGGGGGGAGTTCATTACAAGTCTGACCGGATGCAGCAGGCTAACCCTTACGGCGATTCTGCACGGCCCGCCAGTGATGCTACAAAGAGCCACGCGGCCCCTGGGAGGTAAAGGCTCCCCCCGGGCCAAGTCTTCCTGCGGAAATAGCGGACACACGGACAGCAGGGCCGCTGCTGACTGAAGAGCGGCTCGTCAGGCCGTCTTCGCCTCGGTAACCTTTTGACGCGGAGAAGAGAAAATGGAACAGAACCGGGATGTCAGTTCCCAAACGGAAAAGTGCACACTTCTGGGAGGACCTGAATGCTATTTGCTCGTCCTCCTGGCTGAGCCTCTCAGCAGCGGCGATCAATGCTGCTGCAGCGGAACCAAACACGCCCCGTCCCCTCTGCCAGGCGGGGCGGGAACCGTGCTGGGCGGGCGGGCCTGCCTCCCTGCGTGCCAGTCGCCTACCTGTGAAGCACACGGGGCACTTGAAGGTGCCCCCCATGCCCTCGAAGCTGTGCTCGATCAGGTGGCACTGCAGTTTGGCCGGGGAGTCGAAGGTCTGGCTGCAGAGCTTGCACTCGTGGTTGAGTCCTTCATCTGTCAAGGAAAACACAGGAGCAGAGACGTGAGAACGCACCTGTGCTCAGGGGACGGCTGAGCTGACGACGCCTGCGTTTGGCACCCACTGCCCTCGCCTCCCGGCAGTGTGCGGTTTCTGGTTTCTCCCCTGGATGCATTACATTCACTTAACACACTTCCGAAATGTAACACCCGAGCTGATACGCAGGCGGATTTCTGCGTAGGCAGTGCATTTTATTAAGCTCTTAAAGCGTAACTGGCAGCTGCCTTCTCTATCACAGGTTTAAGGCTGCGTATTTCCAAAGCCCTCAAGATAAAGGACCCTGGGAAGATGGAGAGCTTCTCTCTCAGGCCTTTTCTCCGGCTTACCTAGAAAGTTCTAGACGTTTCGGTTTCTAACTATAAACTTCTGAGTGGTATTCCCACTAATGAGATTTTCTTTTTTTAATTCCAAAATTTTCAGGGAATGTTGAATTATTATCAATGCTTATCGTCTCCTGCAAATGCTCTTTCTGTGCGTGGTACCCCCAGACCATCTCTCCTCCAGTCGCTGCTCCTTTCCTGGGAGGACAGTTTCAATTCACCCTCCTGCACTCGCCCTGCCCTTCTCCCAGGGCACCTTCCGGAGCTCCAGGTTCACTTTCCAGATTTTTCTTTGATGTCTTAGGAACAAGATGGTGGAAAAATATTTTCAAGTAGTAACCACTGCTATATAATGTGAAACGTTTGTGTTATAGACAAAACCTGTTATTTTTATGTTGTCCCTTTCCTCTCGTTAAAATGTTTATGAAATTTAAAACTTAATCTGGTTTGCTTCAATGAGCGAGGAGAGTAAGAGGTGAAAAGCAGCAGCCCTCATAAGGACCCAGGACTTCCTGGTTCCAGACCCTGTGGTCCTAAGGGCACAGACACCAATTCTTTTCCCGCCACAGCCCGCAGCTCCTGTGCCATCCCATGCTCCAGAGGAGGTGACTGGGCCCGGGGAATGGAGGCCCGTGCTCCAGAGGAGGAGACTGGGCCCGGGGAATGGAAGCCCGTGCTCCAGAGGAGCGGAAGCGATTGCTCTCAGTCCCAGGGGCAATCACCGATGGAGCCAAAACCTACCCCGAGGCTGCCTGGACTCGGACCTAGGCAGCTTGGCTCAGGGTCTGGGACCTTCACGGAGAAGCAAGGCCAACACCAGCTACCACAGGGCGAACACTGAGGAGGAGTCGGGGTTAGGGCTGCCATTTAACCTGCCGTTACCCGGCTTTTCTCTTCTCCTATTTGCAACGACGAAGCTCGCCAGGAAGGAACGTCTGTGTGGGACACCCAGACCTGGGGACCGGAGACAAACGCACACGTTCGTTCCCCTCGCTCAGCACAACAGGGCGCGGGAGTCCTCCTCCCGCTCATATTACCGGCAACACAAAAGCCCAATTACGAAGTGAGCGATTATGCGCTAACGCGGTAAAATCACTCTATTTGTATTCCTAATCTTCCCTCCCACACAAGCACGCGTCTTTAGAAGCAGAGGGTCGGGATCGGTGAAAACAGAAGCAAAGCACTAATTAAGCCACCCAGCACTGTCTGCATTTCACAGGAGATAAAGACGGGCTCTGCGTCTGGGTGGCAGAGCAAGCGCCTCGCGGTAATTCTGTAAGGAGGAGTTTAATTGTGCATACTGACACGACAAGGGCTACCCAGAAAGCTTTAGGGATTATGTACGATCCAGAGGTTTTATCTGTTCTGTTCTTTTTTCATCTTAAAGTTACCAAAAATTTGCCAAATTTTAGATAGTGAGAAACATAAGAAACACCATTGATTGTAGGGCACTGGGTCAGTAAGTTAATCCTCGGGAAGATTTGCCAAATTGAAACGTTTTCTGTTTCCTCAATGCTGTATGCCTTTATGTTGGTAGCATGACAGTAACTAAGAGTTTAATTTTATCTTTAAATTATGTGTCTGTGGGCTAGAATTCTTACACGTCTGCTCTCAGGGAAGGTCCGGGGCTTTCTTGGGGCCGAGGGCTGACGGTCACAGGACCTAGCGTGGTGCCAGTACATCGGTGATGTGATGCTCTCTTCCTTGACTGTGAGCATCTTGTCTGGGCAATAACAGAAGGAAACAAACAAAGCAGATGCCGTGGGTCTGCACACGGAGCATTTCTCATCGTGTTTACTCACTTCTTACCCGGAGAGCAGAGCAGCCCTCACAGAGCGTGTCCGAGTCCAAATGCAGTCACATGACCCCACACGGAGGCGGCACACGTCTCCTACGCCCATTTCACAGAGGCGGAAAGTGAGGCCCAGGGAGCTGAAAGGCCTTCCCTTGGCGTCACGGGGCAACCACTGGCAGAGCACGGACACGAGATTCCCGCCCGTTTCGCCCGGGAGCTGCCCACGTTCACGTTAGCGATGAGAACCCTCAGGGCCCGCAGGACCATCACCGGGGCCGGCCTTTCAGAGCCCCTTCAGGGAAGGCATGGGGACATGGGGACCGCTAGGAAGGGCTGCCTGCCTCTTCCTTCTAAGGAGCAGAGTGAGGTCTTTGGCAACAAATCCTGTACCTCCTGGGCCTCGCAGGGCAGACAGCGCACCGGTGCTGTTCCACAGCGATGCTCGGCGAGCTGCAGCCAGCCGGCTCAGGCAGGCAGCGCCCTCGCGGTGTTGCCCCGTGGGCCGGTCCCAGGCCCCCCACCACGGCCACAGGGTCAACGCAGAAAGAACGAGAAATGGGGCCCGAAGCAGTACGGGTTACCGGAATTCATTTCACAGTTTTAATTGGAGAAGGGGGCCGGCAGTGATGGCAAACTAAGCTTGTTTATGAGAACTGTGGAAGCTCATCCTATCCGGCGTCTGCTTCTCTGAGCTCTTGCGCACGCTGACATTTGCACTGTGAGGCCAGAGCGGTGTCTGGACTTTCAAAGACCTGCTAAGCCTCCGTGCTGCAGCCGCGCTGCGCCAGGCCGTGGCCTTCCCAAGCGGAGCCCTCCCCGCTTCTCCTCGCGGGCGCGGGGTGAGAGCAGGAAGGGGCGCAGCAGTTAATGTGAAGTCGGTGTGCATGAGGCGATGCTATCAACACCTACGATTGCAGGTGACCTTCAGCCCAGACTCCATTCTGCCCACGGAGCCACAGCTCACGCCTCGCCTCCCCCTCCCCCCCTGCTTTCTTCCTAGAGGTGCCAGCAGTTTAAAAATTCAATCCAAGTCACCATTTCTGTCTCCGGAAAGGTAGCAGCTGACAGTAATTGGATAATAGAGCCTGACTCATTTATTACAGAGAGATTCTGAGTCAATTGATTTAATAACCATTACAATATTCCATTAAGGACATAATAGGCTAATGCAGCCCTATTTCTTATTAAGAGTTATAGATGGGACCTGCAGATGAAACTTCTAGAGCCTCATCCTCTTTCTGCCATGCGTACTCCCCAGGTTTTCTGCAGTGAGGCAATTTATTTGCCTTTGTAGGTAACTTTGGAAACCAAAGAGCAAAAAATACTAGCCTTTCTGTACCCTATTAATAGGTTGATTCCAACACTGAAATTCTGATAACCAAAAAGGTGGGCAGGAAATGAGCAATATTATGCAGTGACAGCACCCCATGCTGGAGCATTAGACCGAAAAGCATCTGAGCGAATACACGCGAGAGCAGAAATGAGCGGAGAAAGGGAGAAGGTCACGCCAGAGTGCAAATGTGCGCACGGGATGAGAACACGGAGCTTCAGCACAAATCTGTTTCTTCTCAGAACAAGCAGAAAGCCCCGCTCTGCGAGTCCTGGGGCGGAGGCTCATGTGGCCAGCCTTGGGGTCCAAGGTCAGAGGTGAGAGGCGCTCCCATCACTGGGAACCCGCTGCGGGCAGCCCCTTCTGTCCGGTCAGCCGCCGCGGTGCGTGCCCAGGATGGCGGGGCGTGGTTCGGAGACGCTTTTATAAGGACCTAACTTCAGCCCAAACCACCGCTCCCTCTGCTGCCCTGCACGCCGTGCGAACATCACCGCACCCAGGCCGAGGCGACCTCTGAGGCGAGGGGCATGCAGCTGTGACTCCAGCCCCCGTGCGGCCGAAAGGGAAGAGTCTGAACCCGCCGTTGCGACAAACCTCGCCGCCTGAGCAGGGCTGTGCGAGTACCAGCTGCCCGAGGCCATTTCGGGGACCGTTTCTGCCTCCAGTTTATAACACCTGGACCAGCACAGTGAGCATCGGCCCGTGTGAGCATCGGACACGGAGAAGCCGTTGCCACCGAGGGACGCTCAGCACAGCTCGAGCTCTGAGCTCCCGTGGCCCCCGGGGGCCAGCGAAGACCCTGGCGGTTCAGTCTGAGCCGCCGCGGCCCGGCCAGGCTGGCCCTCCTTGGCCGCCGCGGAACAGGTGTGGAGCAGCTGCAGTGCGTGCCGCGGTGACTTACGGCGGCTCTTACCCCGGACCGCCGGGGCCGCTTGGACGGTCTGGTCACACCGAGGCCGTCACCCAGGGCCGATCTGTAACGGTTTGTAAGCTCACCTCCTCCTCTCCTTGGCCCTTGAGACCGGCCAGCGGGCCCTCCCGCCTCCTCCACCGCATAATCTACAGGCCCAGCTCCAAGGACACAAACGCTTCTGGGCCCCACGCACAGGCTGTGACCTGCGCGGGGGCCAGTCCTGCCCTCGAAATCCACAGCGAGCATCAGACTGTGGTCTTTCCAGTTCCAACGCGTGCACTATGTGTGTGTGTGTGTGTGTGTGTGTGTATATATGTATGTGTGTGTGTGTATGTGTGAGTGTGTGTGTATATGTGTGTGTGTGTATATATGTATGTGTGTGTATGTGTGAGTGTGTGTGTATATATATGTATGAGTATGTGTGTATATGTGTGTATGAGTGTGTGTGTGTATATATATGTAGGTGTGTGTATATATATGTATATATATGTGTGTGCATATATATGTGTGTGTGTATGTATGAGTGTGTGTATATATGTGTGTGTATATATATGTATGAGTGTGTGTGTGTATGTATGAGTGTGTGTGTATATATGTATGAGTGTGTATGTATATAT